AACGAACCAGCAGCGGCTGAATCGGACACGCCTGGGGCAGAGCAGCTGGAGTGCTCTGACCCTAACCCTAACCCTAACCCTTGGCACGGCGCGGTGGGACACCCTAACCCTAACCCTAACCCTACCCCCCAGCTGCTCTACCCCAGGCGTCCTCATTCAGCTGCTGCTGAAACTGACCAGCGGTGAGAAAAGCCTGGTCTGCAGTCTGGAGCATTGCCGCCAACATGCTGCTTCCATGAGCAGCCACATGTGATCCTATGGGGGACAACCACCTTCTGTAGCCAGTCCATGGATTCCTTCCAAGACACTCCTCAGACAGTCTTGGGCAGCAGCATGGAGGATAGCATGGATGAGGAGGAGAATGGTCAGCAAGTGAGTAGGCCACCATATGTTACAGAGAGCCAAGAATCTTTTATAACCTTGGAGACAACTTCTCTTCCGAGGCACTTCTGGTGAGTTCACATTTTTATCTTGCTAAAAGTAGGTTGAGGCAATTGGGTGTGATCTGTGGCGGCCACTGTGCCTGCCCAGTGAGGGGGCCTCGCAACAACCTATTAAACGTGTCTGAAGGTGGAGCAGGAATCCTCCCTGTACATCTCTATAAAGCTCTCACAGAGGGACTCTTTAATCCTTCTCACAAGGTTGCTGGGGAGGCCTGTCTTATTCCATCCTCCACAGCATGACACCTTTCCATGCCAAGCCACCAGTAAGTGGTCTGGCATCATTTCAGCACAAACCATTGCACAAAAGGTCCTTTCTGGTCTCATGCAGTCAGCATCTGCTCCCTATTACTCAGTGTGATTCAGAGAAGACTGATATCTCACATGGCAACCTGGATGACTGGGAAAGCTACTAGCTGAAGCCTCTGCAGTAAGCCCTCATCCTCAATGAAGAATTGCTTGAGTCCCTGTGCTTCTCTGCTGCCACGCCCAGAACACGTGTCCCCCTCCTGCCCATCTGCCCCTTGTTGCATAAAAAAGCCTCTGCCTGAGCTTATTTGATTTATATAGATGGATTTTCTAAAGCTACACCAAACTGCAAAGTCTAAGGTTTTAAACTGCAACTCATTGTGATCGTTGTCAAACTTTGTAATCTGTGTAACTCTCAGAAACTTACTGTGAACTGCAACTTTGTAATCTTTTTTAACTCTCAGCCACCCTGCTTGTAACTTTCTCTAAGCTGCATTCCCCCATCAGTGAATGAAGAAAGAGAGTGAGAGTGTGTTTGAAGAAGGCTTGGAACAATAGAGCACATTTCAATGAGTCATCACAGTCTGGGCATGCTCCCTGCTGGATAAAAGGAAGTCTGGGCATGCTCCCTGATTATGAGGTGAATGAGTCACAGAAGCCATTCAGACACTATATAAAGAGAAGGAGCACATGTGAGACTCTCTCTTTTTCCTTCCCCTGCTCCTGAGAAGCTCCTCTCCAGTGTCTCTCCTCCTAACCAGCTGAGACAACTTCTCTTCCGAGGCACTTCTGGTGAGTTCACATTTTTATCTTGCTAAAAGTAGGTTGAGGCAATTGGGTGTGATCTGTGGCGGCCACTGTGCCTGCCCAGTGAGGGGTTCTCGCAACAACTTATTAAACGTGTCTGAAGGTGGAGCAGGAATCCTCCCTGTACATCTCTATAAAGCTCTCACAGAGGGACTCTTTAATCCTTCTCACAAGGTTGCTGGGGAGGCCTGTCTTATTCCATCCTCCACAGCATGACACCTTTCCATGCCAAGCCACCAGTAAGTGGTCTGGCATCATTTCAGCACAAACCATTGCACAAAAGGTCCTTTCTGGTCTCATGCAGTCAGCATCTGCTCCCTATTACTCAGTGTGATTCAGAGAAGACTGATATCTCACATGGCAACCTGGATGACTGGGAAAGCTACTAGCTGAAGCCTCTGCAGTAAGCCCTCATCCTCAATGAAGAATTGCTTGAGTCCCTGTGCTTCTCTGCTGCCACGCCCAGAACACGTGTCCCCCTCCTGCCCATCTGCCCCTTGTTGCATAAAAAAGCCTCTGCCTGAGCTACCTAAAAGCTTAACTGTGGCCTGATACACAATATATCCCTATTGTCTTTAGACAGACCTTTCCTTTTATACTAACAGATTAGGTTCTACACTCTACAATGTATCTCCTGTAAAGTCTGCCCTTCACTTTTTATTACAGCAGAATCAGCAGTGAGACTACTTCGCACACCCTCTGTGTTGGGCTGGCACACATCTGCAGGCAAAAATGGTGTAACTTTCTCTAAGCTGCATTCCCCCATCAGTGAATGAAGAACCACTTGGACAGGGAGCGCTTAAGCAAGCAGAGGAAACATGCTGCTGAGGAGATGCATGCAGAGCACAAGGACAGGAAAGTGTGCAGGGAACTGGAAGTGTGGAACCAGGAGAGAGTCTTGTCATCCATGGCAGATACGAAGGACTGCATGGCAGCTTTCAGGGATGCCTACACGCACAAGCACCCCCTTATTCAGCCCTGGCAGACTAACATTCCCTCCTCACTGAGTTCCATAGCCTCCTCTTCCAGGGGCCCTAGAATTCAGGGGAGAAGGGAAGGAGGGAATCAAGGGTAGCCTCACACTCAGCCCCTAGGGATGTGTTATGAAACAAAACACTGTCCTCGCAATTGTAATGACTCCCTCACTCTGAAGCTCCCATCCTGGAGTCCTTTTCTATTCCTATTGTGTTCCCTGAATAAAAACACATGATTTTTGTGCAACAGTCTCTTTATTGCTTGTGTTGGGGCAGGAGGGAGATTACAGGCAAGCACACTGAATGCAGGGCAATTTGTTGAAAGCAACATTCATGACTCTCAAAACTGTCCATTCATAAAACTGTCTTTCAAAGTCTCTCTGATTTGCACTGTCCCGCACTGTGCCCTTCTTATTGCCCTGGTGTCTGACTGCTCAGAATCGCTCAGCCATTCCAACCTGCCAGATATCATCCTCCCTTAGTCTCACAAACATTATGGAGCACACAGCAGGCTACCACAACAATTGGAATGTTGCACCAAGTCAGCAGACTGTGGGACCTTCCCTTTAAATGCCCCAAAGCACATTCAACCATCATTCTGCACTTGCTCAGCTTGTAGTTGAACTGCTCTTTACTGTAGTCCAAGCTGCCCATCTACAGCTTCATGAGCCATAGGAGCATGAGGTAGGCTGGGTTGCCATGGATCACTATTGGAATTTCAACATCTGAAATAGTAATTTTTTCATGGTCTGGGAAAAAAAGTTCCAGCTTGCAGCTTTCTGAAGAGGCAGGAATTCCTAATGATGCATGTGTCATGCACTTTTCCTGACCATCCCACACTGAAGTTAGAAAAATGGCCCTTGGAATCCACCAGCGCCTGCAGCACCATCAAGAAACCTTTGTGATTCATGTACTTCTTGGCAATGTGGTCAGAGTGAGAATATTTTTGGGGTAACACCCCTGTGGTAAGGGAAAGTCACACTCTTATGGCAAACAGGGGGTGCCAAGCACAGGGTACCCATGTGAGCTCCTGCCTTGCCAGCATACCCAGACCTCCTCCCTCTCAGAGCCTCATGCTCTGGGCCTGTCCCTTACCATCCCTGCCATCAACCTGAGTCCAACTGCACCCCTAAGAACTCTGAGGTGTACCTACTGCATAGTGGCTACCTAAAAGCTTAACTGTGGCCTTTGTTCCATCTATCACCCCACCGCAGTTAGAGAACTCCAGTGGGGCAAAGCCCTCCACTACGTCCTCCATGTTTCCCAGTGTCACTACTCTCTGTAGCAGGATATTGATGGCCTTGGCTACTTGGATAACAACATCTCTCACTGTAGATTTTCCTACTCCAAATTGATTTGCAACTGACCAGTCACTGTCTGGCATAGCAAGTTTCCACAGGGCAATTGCCATGTGATTCTCTACTGTCAGAGCAGGTCTCATTCTGGTATTCTTGCACTTCAGGGAAGGAGAAAGCAATTCGCAAACTTTCATGAAAGTGGCCTTATGCATGTGAAAATTTTGCATCCACTGCTCATTGTCCCATACCTGCATCACAATACGGTCCCACCAGTCTGTGCTTGTCTGATGGCACTAGAACCGGCATTCCACTGTGTCCAGAGTATCCAATGATAGTGACCTTTGCTAGTCACTCAAGTGCTTTGCAAAAAAGTATTTTCATGACCTCCCGAGATTTATCCTAATTCCAGCAGACCCTGGATACATGCTGAACATACTCTAGCATTAGATGCACCATAGTTAATATCATTATCATAATACTTTGATGCTCAATGGGATCCATGCTTACATTGCTATGGTGTTGGTGTGAATAACCAAGGGAAAAAAGGATGCAAAAAGACTGTTTGCTCTCAAGCGGGGGGGAAGGGAGGAAATGAGTGCATTATGGGACATTGATGACATGTACCCAGAACCACATGCTGCACAGTTTTGGTTCCAGCATGCACTGGGAGCATAACCCATCATGAAAAGGGGTGTAGGTACTGTGGGATAGCTATCCACAGTGTATTGCTCTCAAAGTCAACAGTAGCCACCCTACTGGGGAAATGCTACTTTACATTATGTTGAATCTTGCACACACACACCTTTGACTTTACAAAATCTGGTGCTAAAAATTTATGTTAATAAATTTGACCTTATCTCTCAATGTAGACACGGCCTCTGACATCAGGTGGTTGGCATTTACTAAAGGCCTTAGACTTTCAGTAATTTCTGCAGGTCAAACATGAGGACAGAAAAAGCAGGATTTGCTGAAGGACACCAGGAGTTCCCCATGCCTCCAAGCAGATTTGAGAGACACTTTATATTACCTTTCACTTTTACTAGACCTTAGTCAGAATCAGTTGGCTTAGCATAAAGTCTACTTACATGACTGCAGAATTTGTAGATTTAAAGCACTCCTGATAACCACACAAATAAGCCTCTGGATTTAGCCCTAAATAAACTATTTACTGGCTTAGAACATATGCTTAACAGAAAAAAAAAACCCTCATAAAACAGCATGGCCTAACAAATAAAATCATGAAATGTCACAAAAATTTGGAGGAAATGAAGGAACTCATAGTATAATAATTACAGTCAGATTAATTTTTAAAGAAAGAAAATAAATGCTAATATGATTTTAATTAACTTTCAAATGATTTTCACTAAAACATTTGGATTGTTCAGTTCAGTTTTCTGACTTTTAATAATCCAATAATTAAAAGGAAAACACCTTTTAATAGTTGGATACATTAAACATATATAACATTGTTTTGTTGGTTTATATACTTAATTCCTAAAAACTAACCTGAGCTGAGAAGCCACAGAAGAAGCCAAACCAGAAATGTACCAGAGTGAAGGCAATGTTTTTGTAGAAGAAATAACACAAGAACTTGCACATTCTGAAATAGGACCACCTGCCGTGAACAAGCAAGAGCCGCTTCAGATATCTGAACTGGGCAAAGGAGTAATCGCTGGCCAAGACTGCTTGCATTCCTTCCTCACCACTGATGCCTACACCTATGTGTGCACCTGTGAGTAAAAAAGAAGCAGAAATGTGTCTTTACTAAGTATTTGAAATAGATTCAGTGATTTGTTAAATGATCACTGTGAACATTTTGCTTAGTGAAACATAAATGGATATCCATTTTCAGATGATCCCGGCCTTACAAAGTGATATCCTGTGCTTCCCAGAGGTGTTTATCAAATTAACAGGAAAGACCCACAAATTTAGCATTATCATTACTATTATGCTGAATCATATTCTGCTGCGCCTCACCCTCAGCTTTTTAGGAAGTGCTAGCTGCTTCTCTAATAGGCTATGTCTACATTGCATGCTTATTTCAAAATAACTCATGTTAGTCTACACAGCAATCTCATTATTTTGAAATAATTTCAAAATAACAGACTTCTTACTGTAACTTCTGTAACCCTCATTTCATAAGAAGTAAGGGAAGTCAACGAAAGAATGTACTTACTTCAAATTCTTGCTGTGCAAACAGCGTCAAAAGTCGAGTTAAGCTAGCTGAAGTTGCATATCTTAACTCAACTTTAGCCCGCAGTTTAGACATACGCATACAGAATAATGTTTGTTATGATTATTTTTAAATGATTCTTTCTTTCTCTTTTATCCTTTCCCTTCTCACTGGAAGAAAAAAAAAGGTTATTTTGCCATTCTTTGCCAAAATAAGTGAATTGGAGGAGGATCGTGCTGTTATTGATGCTGATGCAGGAAACTTTTTAAAATAAATACAATTTAAATATTGAAAACCCAACTTGAAACTGAGAGTGTGCAAGGGATTCTTTTCTTTCTTCAGGTATGGGGAGTAGAAAAATAAGAAAACTGGTGGGGAAAAAAATACATGAAGTGACTAGTCACCGGGAACTAAGAAACCTGAGGAGCAATCATTGTGAAATTCTGAGAGCACAGCTGAATGCAGGGAATCACGTAACTGTTGCAGTGGTCTAGTAATTATTTTCCATCCTTGTAGTAAGACAGGCTCAAACCATTCAATTACAGTCTAATGGGCCATATTTTTCTTGACTATAGAATAGGGCTCAAACCTGCCATTCATCTGCTTGAAGAAATGACATTGAAATGTAGAGTTCCGTACAATGGCAAAATTGGGTGACAGTCAACAAGCAGATGACATATTGTAAGCAATCAATGAAGTATATTATTAGCTATATAAGGCATCTTAATATTTTATTTTAAGGGCTACCCATCAATGTATTATAAAAACAATATATTTACTATGCAATCTACTTACACAATAGCATATTTTAATATACAAAATATCTTCCAAGAAACTGATGCTACAATAAAAGAATTTACAATAGTTACTAATACTGTACTTGGGAAATGCATTCTTCCATGCAAATATTGTAACACATAAGAGGTTTCTTCATGGCTGTACTGCATCCACCACTTAATCAGGACACAATTCAGTTGGGATACCTCTCAAAGTAGCCAAACTAATGATACTTACCACCAAGGAATTTTACTTCATTGGGATGCCAACATATGATTAAGTGGTGCTCAAATGGAGATATCGTGTCTTTGTAATTTTCAGAGATTGATCATAATTTGATACCTTTCAAAAATTCTTTACCTCTTCCAGTGCTTGTTTATCAGTGTAGAAGTATTTTAACAGCATTTCTGCAGGCCCATTGAAAACTGATTAAAATTAACCATTTTAAAAGTGGAAATAGTACAGAACTACCAGGATGCTGGAAGGTCTGGATTTGGTAATTATATTTCAGCTCATTCTGGGGAAAAATAGCTGTTGCTGTTCTGTGTGGTGTGGTTTGTTTTGTAAATGATAGAGACAGACCTCTATCATCTTTATTTCTTCAAAGAAACAGCAAGCTAAATGTGAGCAAAACAAAACAATCTGAGAACCATTTTAGATGGAAGCAAAAACTGCACCGTCTGGTTAGCTAGAAATTCTTCTTAGTCAGAATGAAAGGTGAACTAGTGGGGTATTCCAATTAAGATGGATTCATCAGTACATTATTTATCAAATACTTATACATATGAGTCCATTGATAGGCAAATCTTAACATGCTATTGGCATTTCTATTTATGTTTTTATCTGAAATTAGGACATCATTTCCTCTTACTTTTGATCATGCTGATGTCATTGGCTCCATCCCCTATGGCCAAGGTGACTGCATTCCTGTGCTTCTTAACCAGTTCTACCACTTGTGCTTTTTGTAAGGGAGTCACTCGACAACAAATCACAGTTTTACACATGCAGGCAACGTCTAGGAATTCATTCTCCAGATCAGCCTCAAGTGCATGAGCCTGCAATACAAAGAATTCCCTGTCAGAGTGCTAGTTCTGTACCTATAATTAATAGAAGAGGTGATGGGTAGAAAATGGAGACTAAATAGGAATAAATAGGAAATAAATAAGAATAAATAGGATACATATCTTTCTAATATTTCAAACTTAGTAAACAGCTGAAAGCCTTTTAGCAGAAGATACCACACGTTGCCAGTAAAACAATAAAACAATCTCATAAATTGATATATAGCAAAAATATACATAGACAGAATCCATATACCCTAATGCACAATGAAAGCAAAGCTACATTTTATTGTAATATAGTTTCTTTAATAATATGTTCAATACAAAATGTAAAAAGGGATGGAAATAATCAAAAAATGGATATGTTAGTTATTTCAGTCTAGCACTTGACTTTCCAGGTAATTTTATAGAATTAAAAAGGGTCTAATGCAGTGAATCATCAGCTCCATTGCAAGTTTTTAGCTGCAGATACTCAGTGTATCTTTGTGGTTCAGCACCCATAGAGCTTCCTCACAATTCAGACACAGAAAATTCTGGCAATTATCATCACAGTCTGGCCAAGCTCTGTGGTCTGCCTGTCTCCCTTGGATTGACATATAGCTAGTTCAACTATATGTGGCATGTGACCAGAGCCACTGGAAAAATGCATAAAATGTTCCCATTTTGACATATATTGTGGGATTTCATTCACTGTGTGGCAATTTCATTTTACTATAGTAGGAAAACAA